CCCCAGTGCACGCTGGAGGTCCTGGTTTGATGGGGCCAACAGGACAATGTCGTCTGCAAAAAGCAGAGACGAGATCCTGTGGTCCCCAAACCAGACTCCCTCCGGCCCCTGGCTGCGCCTAGAAATTCTGTCCATAAAAATAATGAATAATAATAATTCGTTTCAGATACGCCATTAATCAGCACATTAGCCAGGCTAGCTGATCTCACCATTTTCTTCTTATTGGTGTCAACCATGCAGTACACTGGCTGCTAAGCAGCAGTAGTAACCGCAAGAAGTTAATACCAATATTAGTTAATACTAACTAATCGTTCATATGGTATTGATATTTATCTATTGGATGTGATAACATAGTTCAGGAATAGTGTTTTTCAGCAGTCAACTCTCAAATTTGGAAGGTCCTTGAATGCACCATTAAGGAAGAGCTGTATTACAATGCAAAACATAAATAAACCTACATAAAACTAGTTGCAGGTTTCAAGACTTTGCAAGCTACAGTACTGAAATGAATGCACGATAATAGCTGCTTGGTGATCCATACTGTAAATATACCTGCTCCAGATAAAAATGCAAAACCCTCCAACAAGCCAAGGTCATGCTGTTTGTCTTTCATTCGTCAGCTTGTGTGTACCTGCAAGTGGCTCCATGCCCTGGGATTATTTCACAAAGGCCTCCGTTCAGGCAATAGTTTGGCTGTAAAGAGCAGGTGCTCTGACACAGCAGGCCATCCATGGTGCTGTAACCTGGATCGCACTGACACTCCGCCTCCCCAGTCCAACTGTTTACTACGCAACGTGAAAACTCATTACAAGCCAGGAACTTGCAAGGGTCTGCTTGGTCAGCTGTAGCCAAAAGTAAGGAGAGAATGAGAAGTGTATAAATACAGACCAGAGAAGCAATTGCTCATTAGCATTAATGCATTTACAGATTCAGAAGAGACAGTAAGGGGCATTTGATTGACGTGAATGGAGGTGTCAGGAAGCCACTTGCAGTTTACAAAAGGCAGCAGAGTAAGGATGTGTGTGGTCAGACAGTCTGACCTTGTAGCATGAAGAGTCACTGCAAGAACAGATTTTTTTTTTTCTGCAACGGGTGTTTGCACCCTGTCATCATATTTTCCAGGATTGCCATATTTCAGTGACACAACAGGGAGAAAAATATTTCAGGAAATCTGAACTCACTCGTTTAAAAACATGATTTTCTAGCAGAAACAAAAACAATTACATAAGTAAAAGCATTTCACCTGGTTCTACTTCCAAGGAGCGACTGTCAATCTCAATGTCAAGCCATTTAGATGCGGCATTGCAGAAGTCTTCGAGCACGCAGTGCACAGCTTCTGTGGCATTATAAGGTACTGGCTTGTCCAGTTTCATCCTGCTGTTTACCACGATGCTACCATTTCTGAAGTTCAGGATCTGCAGCTCCTTAAATCCAGTCAAATTGGACTGTAGATATGGCAGCAGCTGTGGGGAACAAGTGAAAGCAAATTAATTCATGATGAACTTAAACGGTTTGTTTTAATTCAATCAACTTTCAGGAGATGTACTGAAATGTCTCATATAAGATTCATTTGCTATCCACCTAGTGATCCGAGTGAAAATTTGCTTGTTTGCAGGAGGAACAAGGAAAATTGTGTTACTGTAATTCTCATATAAGAGTCATTTGCCATGCACCTAGTGATCAGAGTGAAAATTTGCTTGTTTGCAGCAGGAACAAGGAAAATTGTGTTACTGTAAAAACAAAAATTGTTATTTTTTAAACATAAAAATGGAATCATTCTTGATTTCATGTCATGTCAGTGAATATCACCACCACCGGGAAAGCAGAGACCACACGTGTGGTTTTATGTCTGCAGTGACTACATGGCCGATTTTGACTTTTTCAGGTCACATTTTACGTTGTGTTTTGAATAGTTTAGCATTAAATGTTGCTGTAAGCATGAAATACTACTATTATTGTGCTGACCTTAATTAGATCCAGAACAAAATTAGGGTTAGGTTTAAAAGAATTCCTAAGAACACGGAGTGTGCCAATTCTACTCACAGATGAATCATGATGGGGAAAAAAAAAAAAAAAAATGACACTTAAAAAAAGAAAATGCTATGTTGTTGTGTAAAGTGTCTGTATTACCCGTCTTAACAATACACAGCATCACAACTCCTACTTTACCTGTATCAAAGACAAAGTCCTTGTGTGCAATGTGCTTGGCCAATAAAAGTGATCATCATTATTTAAAAACCATATGCGCAGTGAAAACATATCTATACATTGTTGCATTTAAAAATAATCCCACATACTTGAGACTTGCTGCTCAGACAGCTGAAACCAATCTATTAAGACTATAGACTTGTATCAGTGTCCATTGGTCTGAACTGTTCTCCTTCCAGTCACAGATGAGGTAATTGTCAAACCACCACAGTGTGAGAGGGCGAGATTATGATGCTTTAGTTGACCCGACTGTTGAGCAGGAGATAAGAGGCCTTAAGAAGCTCTGCACTGATCAGGTTACTTCACTTATCACTGGCAGACAGTTCACTGAGAGCTGGGTCCCCATAGCTAATAGTCTCAGAGAAAAGGAGAGGGTCTAAAATCCAGAACAAATGACCTGCAGTGCCATTAGCCACCCTTCTCACTGCTTGGTCATTCATTCGTCTCAGTGCAGAATGTCAAATTATACATGTGTACTGTAGATTAGGTGTAAATCTGTAGCTCTATTGCCTTCTACAAAAGGTCAAAGCAGAATGCTTTCACAACAAACCTCAGTGCAGTCTGTACTCTGGACCAAGAAACAGAGATACTGTAGATTCCATTGTAAAGAAACATAGATGGCATGGAACAAACAACCATTATTTTATCTCATGACATTCATTTCTTTGAGGTTACACATGTATCTACTGGTTCTTGTTTTGCAATCTGTACTCTGGACCAAGAAACAACAGAGATACTGTAGATTCCATTGTAAAGAAACATAGATGGCATGGAACAAACAACCATTATTTTATCTCATGACATTCATTTCTTTGAGGTTACACATGTATCTACTGGTTCTTGTTTTGCAAAATGCAACAAAACATCCCTTCTCTAATGTCAAAAAATGAAAAGTCACTAGCATTTTGCTGCCATGAAGTCAAGTCAAGATTTTTATTTGCCATTTATACATAAACAGTCTAAATCTTAGATTTACTGTCGAAAATGAAGTCATTCCAACCTCCATGTCCAATTTTATTGGTTGCTTCACAAACCAGTAGGTACAGGGGTAATGGAGGAGTGTGGCAAACGAAACAGGGGAACTGAAAGCTACCATATGCTAATGGATGGTATATATGAATATATACTGGAGCGAGAGTGAATGTATAGGATTATAAATGGAGTCCGAAATCCAACAACAAATTACGTTATGTCCATTTAAATGGGCTGTGTAATATATTTTATTTGACATCTTTTCAATATTATTCCTGTTATTTTCCAGTGATTTATAAACCAGCTTAGGACTGTTCTAAAATATTTGCTCCAAAGTGCATCTTCTCTACTTAAATAGCCCATTTAAAGGAAAATTTCCTAATGGGATACTGACAATGGACAGAACAGTCGGTACAGAAAGTTTTCAGACCCTCAAGTTTCCCACATTTGTTGTGTTTCAGACTCATCTTAAAATGGATTCAATTTAATATTTTCCTCAATCTATACACAGTAGTCCACAATGATAAAGTGAAAACAGGTTTGGGCTGTTTTGAAAATTTATTAAAAACAAAAGACTGAACTATGCAACTTACATAAGTATTCAGTAACCCTTAACAACAGTTCCCAACAGCGTGTGTGGAGAAAACCAGGCACTGAGCATCACATCACTAATACCACCCCTACAGTCAAACACGGTAGTGGCAGCATCATTTACAAAACACTCCAACAACCTGTTTTCACTTTATCAGTGTGGACTACTGTGCATAGATTGAGGAAAATAATTTAATTTAATTCATTTTAAAATGAGTCTGAAACATAAAATGTGGAGCAACTTACATAAGTATTCAGTAACCCTTAACAACAGTTCCCAACAGCGTGTGTGGAGAAAACCAGGCACTGAGCATCACATCACTAATACCACCCCTACAGTCAAACACGGTAGTGGCAGCATCATTTACAAAACACTCCAACAACCTGTTTTCACTTTATCAGTGTGGACTACTGTGCATAGATTGAGGAAAATAATTTAATTTAATTCATTTTAAAATGAGTCTGAAACATAAAATGTGGAGAACTTGAAAAGGTCCAAATACTTTCTATACTGACTGTATATGGTAAATACTTACCAGCTCAAACTTCTGATCACATTAGTTTTGCCAGGAAGCTGAATAAATCAATTAATGAGAAGAACTGTAGAAATGACGGTTTGGGCAACCATTAAAGACTGGAGATGGAGTGTTTTAATTATATAAATATTATATTTATATATATTATTTATTTTTGCATGCAGCATTTCTACTTGTTTGTTCCTGATCCAATGCAGACATTATTTGCTCTGATTTAAAATAGATAATTAAAAATGAAAGATTTCTCAATGGAAAACAATCCAGTTTGTTTCAGAATGCAAAATTATAGCATGAATCAACAAGCCTACAACTTTTCACATTCTTGTAGACTCTATAATAAACATCTGTAACATCTACGTTACCAAAATATAACTGTTTATGTTAATTCTGATAGTTTCTCAGGAAACTAGGCCCACCTGCACCATTAGCTCACATTCACTCTGCTTCTTGGCACTGCAGCAAACACACAATCCAATTTGGATTGATGCACCTCCTAAGTGTGAGGCTGAGGCTTTTACATAACATGGAAAACAGGGCACCTCTGAGCAAGCCTAAAAATATGTCAACCTCGAAGTAAGCCTTGAAACTAAATAGCGATGTCAAATGATGCTTCCTTCTCTGATGTATGCTAATAGGTGCAGGTTTAAAAAGACAGTGCTTGCCAATTTAAAAGTCTTATCTACAATAAAAGAGCACTGTCGCCTATTTACCCTTTAAAATGCAGTAAAACATTTCAGCACTAATTTTGTGCAGTGGATTTACTCATAGACACTTCCACAAAACATGACCTTGACCAGTCAGTGATCTATTTAATGAATTTCTTGTTGCCTTTTCTGTTGTAGCTCATATAATACTACTCTATCCATAGCATGATACAGCTGTAACATGCATACACATGTCCACACAAACCTGATGTCACACTAACCAGACTGGAGCCATTAATAGCACTATGTGTGTGGTGCTGCAACCAGACCAGAATAAGTTAAGCTTCTTATCATGAGTCATAAACCAATGACTAAGGTCTCATGATTCATGCTATCTTGTTCTCTGCCATGGCCTAAGCAATAGGCCGCAGTGTTAGCAACACAATATGTACAAGGCTGCGTGTCTTTCTTATTTGGTTTACTAAGTGTCGTATAACATTATTCTGTTCCCAGTGAAATAATTTGTGTTGTAATTTTATCTTTAAGGCTTCAAACATGCAACAACTTACATGTCAATCTCATACCGCAAATGAAAATCAAATGTACAAAAAATAAATTTCTCATTTGCAAAGAGACAACTGGAAGACACACACACACACACACACTGTACACTAGTTCATAGTCACATTACAGACATAATAATCAACGCATGCTACATTATGAAACAAAGCTACTTCAAGAAGCAGTATCTCTTTAGTTTATCACACCAGGCGGCTTGTGCTTTCAAAGCAACAACATCAGATCATTTGTGTTGCTGTATAAAGGAATAGTGCAACATTTCATGAAATATACTTTTCTTTCTTGCAGAGAGTAAGATGAGAAGATTGATCCCTTTCTCATATCTATCAGATAAATATGACACTACTAGCCATCAGCCAGTTAGCAAAGAATAGAAACAGGAGAAGCTGATTAACATGTAATAAAACCCACCTGTGAGTCAATCTAGTTTTGATTGGTTCTGTTAATTTATTTTTACTAAATTCAAAGTGTAAAACATGACAAATTGTGGTTATGTGCCCCAAAACCTTACTTGGGCACTCCCTGAAGTCTCCTTGTTACTGTGATGTTGCCTGATGACCAGATAAGGCACTACTTAAGACCACAATGGAGCACGGATCAGGACACATATTTCTATCAGAACCTGACTCAGACCTGACAAGGTTATAGTGTATAATGTCCAAACCTGACGCCATGTTAATTACCTTATTATTAAACAGAGCAGACATTTGAGCAATACAGCCATCTAGCCTAAAGTCTGACCTGTATCAAAAAAATGTTTGTCTGAACTTGGCCTTAACAATTGGGTACTGACAGGTCCCATTGGGCTTGGTTCAGGTATCCACACTTTTGAGGTTTTGGAACTCTGGACAGAGCCATGTTAGCCGTTTCCACTCGTTTCCAGCCCTTATGCTAAGCTACAGTACAGTATGTTAAATGGCTGTTGGCTCTAGCTTCACACTAAAGAAACAGATAGCCAGCACGAGTGTGGTCTCAATATTCACATGTTTAGGTGCTTTCAGACAGAATGTGAGGTGTATTTTACTGAATATTGAAGATTGTATATAAAGTTAATGGAAAGACATGGTTGGGCATGATAGATGCAAAATCCCCTGAATCATTGCAAGAAAGCAAAATTAGCATATTTTCACCAAAACTATTCTGTTAAGTCATTTTGCATGTTTACCCTTGTCAGTTTTTAAAACTTAATTTTTTCTTCTAATGACAAATCTCTTGATTTTATAACCCAGAACGTTAGAAACATCCCTTTCAGCTTCAAATATGAATCAAACAGAAGCAAGCAGTCCCTGAAAAAGCCTAAAATTTAGCACAATTAAAAAAATTAAGGCAAAAACGCACAAAACAATATTGCAAATATTAGAATATGCTAAATACTAAATACACCACAAAAAGCAGCTGCTTCCGGAAGTTGTAATACAAGGTTGAAAGTAAAGCTGAAGACTAAAGCTAGATATTTTAGAAATGTTAGAAACATTAAGTACTTTCAGATAGTGCATTTTAGAAAGGTTAGTTAAGAAAAAGAAACGTTATGCTCTCTCTGTCATTGGAGATGTAGTTCCAATATGGAAAAAACAAAATACCGGTATGGAGGCTAAAGTTGTCTGTCTCCTAGGCCCAGATATACTGGAAGCTTGAGGGTTTGGTGAGTTTCTGGACCCAGAGTGTTGTGTCTAAATGAAACAGAATAATTTGACCAGCTTTTTTTTTTTTTTTTTTTTTTTTGACACAGTAGCTCCTCTGAAATTAAAGTATTTGCATACTTTAGATTCGATCAAGAATTTGGCAGTCGGTTAAAGCCTTGTCACACTTCTATAAAAACTAAATTTGATGAAAAATTATACATTCATTAAAATGTACTGTTTGTAGAATATAAAGCAGTTGTGAGGATAAGGCTTACTGCAAAGTGCATCCTTACTTTTGCAGGACACCAATACCTTTTGGTTACTAAAATAATTTTACACTTAGTGACGTTTTTTCTAAACCCAAACAGTAAATATTGCACACTACTACTTGTATGACACATTTCAGCCTGTGCTAGGTCTACAAAAGTAAGTATGTTAATGAAGTATGGAGAAGCATGATATCCAGCACAAAAGCTTGGGTACCTACCAGCTCAAGAAAAGTGTTCTCCAGTGATCTATACTCTGGGGAGCTCTTGTTGAACAGGTCATCAGAAAACATCATGTTAGTGACCCTCAAGCTAAAGAAGACCACTAACTCTTTGCTCTTATCCACTGCCGTCATCAAAGGGGTGCTGGTTTGTCTCATGGGCAGTGCAGCTGTGGATCCGTACGGGTGTTCAGACTCTGAAGGGAATCCACTACCGCTCTCTTCTTCCAGAGGTTTGGTCACTTCTCCCTCCATCCCATCCTGGCTTTGTCCTATATCCTC